GAATTCCAATGACTTGCACAGTGACGTGCGAAGGCTAGCTAATTACAAGTCTCTAGTTTTATCCTCCCAGACCAGTCCAGTTAGCTAACTTCAAAGGAATCAAAGGCATGTTTGAAGTGAGCGAGATTCCAAACCCTATGCTAAGTAAGTGTTAGGCTATTCCACCCTACACTGCTCCCCGTTCAGTCAAAAAAAAAACAAAGAAGGGGCGGGATTAGACGGCTTTCTTTTCCTTTACTATTACCTCATTAATCAGTTCACCTCTAACTTTTCAGGTGTGGACCATGTATTGCACATTAATCCCCATCACTTTTACCTGAAACGTTACAATGGACCTGAATTAAGTTGAGTGCGTGGCGCAACCTGACTTAATTGAACATTAATTCAGTTACTTGCGAGAGCTCCATGTAAACATCATGAATTATTCCTGTCGTAAAACGAAAACGCTACAAGGCATTCTAGCATATGTGTTACGAGAGCTGCAGCACCTGAGCTTCAGGCTTCAGTTATCAATATTATCAATGGTTCATATTGCTTATTTATGTGTGTCATCATTAATTTATGGTGCCGTTTAGACCTCTCATTAAGGCCTTGTTGGATTCCCTTGATGCTTCTCGCTATGGTAAACTTTGCAATTTACGATTTATTGTGCCAGACAGGTTGAAAGGTGAGCTCTCCACTGGATTTGGCCTGAAAAATGGCCTTCGAATGGATCTCGAAATCTGGACTAGAACTCGCGCTAAGTGAAACCGCTCCGCTCATGCGGCGATTGAGTAGCCTCTGTGAAGGGCAAACTAGTCGAAACGTTATGCGAAATTCAATAAAGAGTTCTACCTAACCACCTCTCAGGCACAATAAATGGAAAACTGCACAGTTTGCATAATGTTGTGATTTCTGGACGAGGAGACTTTGGACACAAACCTTATTTTTGAAGCTGTTTTGTTTGAACTGCTGTTTAACGCCGGCTTTACCGCAGTACGCGTTCGAATGTTCGCATCAAGCTGAGAGAGGTAAACGCAGCCCTGCGTGCGTAAACGGATTAGCGCACTCGCCCCGGAAACGCGTAGAGGTGCGGGTTCGAACTCCCGCCTGGGGCAACGGACTTTTGCCCACAACATTAAAGCAATTCTTGTTGAAATCAGAAAATTTCAATGAGCTAGTGATAAAGTTGAACTCAACCATTGTGACAGAGTTAACTGCATGGTACTCGGGCGATCTACCGAGGTTTTATGGGCCTAATCTTGGCTTTGGTCCAAAGGAAGCAAGTGATCCGGTGATCTGGCCTCTTTCCAGGCTCTCCCACGCCCAGACGCCTTTGAGCGTTCGCGGCAAAAACTGTCTTTCCTTGAGTTTCGCTTTCTTCTTACATCATGAGTCATCACGACAGGTGTGCTGTCTCAAAAAGTGCAAGTACACTTTTCATAAGCATCGTAACTGGAAGGGGCTGCTTCACAGCTGATTCGACTCAAAACTGTATGTAGCTGCGATAAGTCTAATCGTCTACGAGTGGGACTCTGCTCCCTTGGCCTTAAATTGGAAAAGTGGATTTTCGTTGGTAACGTCACTTACAGGCATATTCCACGCTGGTTTTCTGGGCGGAGTCAGGCCTACCACTCCATCTTGTATGACGTGCTGCTCATTTTCCCGTCTGAGAGAGCAAGACCGCACCAATGAACAAGGGCCGATGGTAGACTAGACTCCGCCCACACTGCCAACGTGGAATATGCTTTCAAAAATGGTTGCGTTCGTTTATTAGAATTGATGGGTCCCTATTTTTGTTGTCTCCCAAGCTATGAATTGATAAACATGGATCCGATTCACTTTATAAGACTTCTTTTTTGTTTCGGTGCACCTCTAGGCCTGATGTGTCGCCTTTTTGGTGTCTATTGGTCTTTATTAGTAATGTTGTTGGTCCGTTTTTATGCCGTATGACTTTTTCGTGGGAATCCTTACTTAACCTTTTTCAGGTAGTAGGCAGTAGAGAATGATGCGCGCGGTTCAGCAGCAGAGGTGAGTCATTCTCTTGTCTGCTCGTATAATAGCCATCGTAACTTCAAAATGAAACTGCTCGGCGCTGATTGATTCTTTTGGTCTGCGCCATGCCTTCAGTCTTCATGCAAAATCCTGCAACCATTTAGTGTACAACTGGAGCATATTTGGTTGGGCTATAAATGTTTAGGAAGAAAAAGCTAAAGGCCTGTAGTCGTATTATTCTATAGTATTTCATAGCTAAAAGAAGTCTGCTGGGATGTTCAGCTTGAAGTGCATTGTCTCGCAGGACTTTTTTCCCGAGTTGTGAGCCTCTGTCTGTGGGAAATCCGCTTGCATAAAAAGATACACTTCAGTTCGTTCCATTCAGGGCACGCCATCGCGTTGTGATCATTTCCTGAAAAATACGACCCCCCCCCTCCCCATGCTACCTACCACTTTCCTAGATTTTCCCAACTTCCTACCACTTTTTCCAGTTTTTCTCGGAAAACTTCCTATTCAGTCAAGAACTCCCCTCTAGCGGGAGGGGATATATATACGCAGTGTGAAACAGGAAATTCTCCCAGTTTTTCCGAAATTTCTTTTTGGTTTTCTTCAAAATTTTGCTGTCGAGCGGGGGGGGGGGGGGAGATCGTCAGGATTTAACTATCATTTTCAACTATCGGAAATAGTAGTTGTATAGGTCTTGTCCCTCTCTCAACAACGGCCAAATACGACCCCCCTCTTGTGATCATCACAACGATGGCGTGCCCTGGTTCCATCTTCGTTGCCGATGATGGGGATGTAACTGAGACTGGGTTTCGCGCGGCGCAGCCCATTCTCCCGTAGCTGTTGAAACGGGTAAGCGAGAACAATTAGTGAGGAAACGACTGATGTGAACAATATGAGTCGCTTGCCAGAACGGAATAAAGGAGATGGAATGGGTTTGGCACTGCGCCATACACATATCCTGCCACGCCCCATTACCCGCAGCGAACGGGACTACAAATGCCGCTCGTGGTAACTTTGAGGAGTTTCCTTTTAAGTTCGAAAATTAGAATCGTTTCAGCTGTGAAAGGTTGTCTTCAAATTCCAAGCATTGTTTTCAAGCGGGCAAGGGGCTAAACGGTTGTCTTCAAATTCAAGCATTATTTTTAAACGGGCAAGGGGCTAAACCCACTTTCCGGGAACAGGCAGCCATTGTTCCCCTTGGAGCACCTTTCTCGTCACCGTCTACCTGCACAATGGTTGTTTATCTCCGCCTACCCGATTAGCATGTACTACACCCTCAAATTGTAATGTTATATTTATAGGATAAATAGTAGAATGATAGCTGTGATTAGGAGTATCACTGAGGCAGCGTTCAGACTTTGCGTCGACGCGCATCCGTTACGCTGGGGAACGGAGCCGTGAACGCGTATCGATTAGCGCCGATTGCTACTGTTTGAGAGAGTATGGGAGAGTAGGAGGGAACGCCTTGTCTAATCACGTCTGGCACCCTCCTGTTTTTCTGTACTCTTCCGATACACTAGCGGTCAGCGCTGATCGATACCACACAGTTCAATTGGGCAACGCGTACCCTCCTAGTCTCGCATACACTCTCAATGCAGTAGCGACCGGCTTCGATTCATAACCACCCATGGCTGCCTTCTGGTCTGTAGTATTGGAGCGCTATTGTAATGGTAGTGCGTCGACGGGTATTACAGATAGCGCGCGCCGACGCAATGTGAACGCCTACTTGGTCTGGAAAACTGTATCTGTATGCAAGAGGGCGAGATGGAGTCGTACTACGTTACATGGGAATAGAATGCACATTAACTTCTAAAACGTTCTTTATTATCGCCACAATGAGTACTTGTCATATACTACCATTTGTCAGCAGTAACTATTTCAGCGCTAGATTTCTGTCGACCACGGCGGTGCTATGCGAGGGAAGAGAATTAGATCTCAGTGATCCGAAGCAGCTGGCATTGCACAAACTCTACAGAAAGGAAAGACTTACTCCAGCGAAAAGAGGTGTTGATCTCCTAAAGACGCCGGGTTTAAATAAGGTATGTTGGCGATAGAATCAGTTCTTATATCAGACGCGTATCGTCAAGATGAAGAGTTAAAATACGACTCCGCTGCCAAAATAGGACCCTACTCGTCGCGGAAATCTTCAACTATTTTAATCTGTTACGGCGATTCTGCACAACTCGGCTTGGTGGGGGCACTAAACGGTACTCAGCGAACTTTGAACAAGCCACCTTGTGAAGTCCTATGAACTCCTGTAACCAAAGTGACTCGTATCATTGCTCACATTCATAAACGTCCAGGAGGTCCTATCAAAGTTAGAGTTGTTAGGTAACACGCAACAACAGAAGAAATAAGCCGAGTGTGCGAAATGCGTCCTCCCTCGCCCCTGGGATCAAACGAGCCGAGAGCGCCGTTTGCTCTGAAGAACAACATTCAGTCAAACTAGCGCCTCCTTTATTTCAAAACATCTTTCAAATTCATTGGTTTCAGAGAGTAGGAATGCAGAGTCTGCACTCATTTGCAACTAATCGTAATCTCTAACAACTCGTCCACAATGGGCGGGGCGCACCGGATGACCTGCCTTTTGGAACACACTCTGTTTTCTGTGCCTGATCGTGCATTCTTAATTCCAGAAAGTCGATTACTGATCTCAGGATGCAGCTCGGCTTGGTGTGGAGCCCACCAAATGCATACTCAGGAAGATTATACAAGGCCACTTCCGGAATGCTTAAAATTCGTGAACGAAGTTAGTTCAAGTTGGAGCAAATTTCGCAGCTTCACAGGGGCTTACAGGTCTCATCAAAAAGAGGCCTATTGTTGAGATGAACTGATAAAAGCAAAAGGAAGTGTCCCCCCCCCCTTAATCCGAGTATAGTCGGTCTAGCTTTGATTTCAACTGTGCACCACGAGCTCATTTCAGGGTATGGCCTTTTCGTTATATGAACGGCAATATCTTGGCATTCATGGGCTTCTTCCTCCTGCCTTCATGACAGCTGAACAACAAGCCTACGCGCGTGATGTCAAAACTACGCGAACAGCCCAATGATCTCGCAAGGTCTTGGTGTTTTCCCTCTTATTCTTTTTTCATGGGAATTTCTCTTGAAATTTTCGTTCAGGTATGTCCAACTAGACAGTCTTCACGACCGTAATGAGAAATTGTTTTATCGAGTTTTATGTGATAACATCAAGGAACTAATGCCTATAGTTTACACACCTACCGTCGGACTTGCATGTCAGAAATTCGGATTCATCTACCGTAACCCTAAGTTCGTTTTGAAAACAGCCGTTACACACTCGAAAGGCACATTCCGCGGTGATTGAATGGGCGGGGACTCATAAGCATTTGCCTTTCTTGTTAGCGCACCTCTTTTCTTCACGATATCAGAAAGAGGGGAGGGACGGACTAATGAGGATGGCGCAATGTGGCCTCCTGAGCGGAACGTGTCTTTAGGTTCTAGTCATGTACAAAACGATTCATTTCAGAGGACTGTATATAACTATTAACGACAACTCAATTAGTAAAATTTATCAAATTCTCTCTAACTGGCCACTAACTCATGTACAGGTAAGTTGGACGAGATCGCTTAAAGGCTACTTTTGGAGGTAATTTAATTCAGGCAATAGTGGTGACAGACGGCGAACGTATTCTGGGACTTGGAATCGTGGAGCATACGTATAGGTATCCAGTCCGGAAAAAAACCTTTTTTTTTTTGCTCTCTATGTTGCCTTGGCTGGCCTTTATCCATCATGGTGTCTTCCAGTCCTCATCGATGTTGGTACGGACAATCAGGTGAGGAAACATGTTCATGAAGTCCATTGTGGGCGCAATGGGTGGAGGTCAGGAGATCCGTGTTGCGACGTCGCGGCAAAAGCAAGCGTCAGCTTAGCACATTGTTCCGATGGGGAGAGGGAAGGGAGAGTTCTTTCAAAAGAAAGATCTCCACATTCTTTGCCAATCCACACGGGATCAGTAATGGAGGCGGTAGAGTGACCCGCTGCAGCTGTATGTCTACCAATGAAACAGGTTATTTTGTTTCACCTTAGCTGCGGCCACTATTATAACGCAGCCACAGGAGGGCTGATCCTAAACCTCCCTGTTTCACGCGTGCGTCTACATCGTTGGAATGATTGCAGGGGAGGTCAAACATGCCGTTGAGAGAGGGGGGAGGGGAGTCTGTGTTTGCTTTTGCAGAGGAATTTTTTGAGTCGCAAAATTTTGTTCCTGTCTGCTGACCTGCGCCTTTTTCTTCGCCTCCCTAGCTCCTTCCCCCTCTCGAACCCGGCAGTTTTTCGGGCAAAAACTGAAAAATGTACTCCAACAGCGAGGAAAAGCAGTGGTAGAAAGTAGGATACGGTAGGGTGCGGAAGGAGTTATACCGGAACTTTGAGGAGGGAATTATATTAGCCTGCCAAAAAACTTTTCGCGGACAGTGCGAATTTGAACTGTGTGTGGGCATTTAAGCCGTGGATTGCGAGTTCCGAGAAACGCCACTCCTTAGGACACGGCATTGGAGCGATTCTACGTGCCTCAACTACGGACTGACAGCCGTCTGAGCATTCAGTCGGGCCATTCCCGAAAAAAGTGGTTCTTGCTCAATTTCTCATGGTTTCTTTTAAGACGCTTCTAAACGATCCATTCTACACCGGATTGCAGTTCCGGAATGCGTGAGAGGTTCCTGAGTATGATTTAACTAATCGACAACCTTTATGCAAAGACCGCCCACGAACACCGGTAGAGAGGACTATTTTTCGTCTACAGCATTCTGAGACCCCACGCCTTTCATGTAGCCTCTTCTCTTCCAGATTTGGCCGTGACACACTCATCCAGTTTGAAGATTTCGGAAACCAAAACGCTTACCGTCTCCTCGATCGATACAAGAACGAGTACTGTATGTTCAACGATGACATACAGGCAAATTGGTTTGGTTTCAACCCATTTTTGATATTATAAAAAAATAATTCCAGGAACGGCAGCCGTAGTGGTCGCAGGGTTGCTGGCAACCACACGTATCACGAAGAAACCGCTTTCGCAAAACAAACTCGTATTTCTGGGAGCTGGAGGGGTGAGTATGCAAAAATTCTCCATGATCAATACTACTAGTTAAAATTTAAGCAATCAGCTTGCTAGCTTTTTTTACGACATTGAGTCGAACACTTCCTAGTATTTCTTGGATTATGTGTTGTTTTTTTAATAATCTTTGGCTCTATTGGTGCTTAGGTAAAGGGGCATTACCCGCTTTCGGTAGTTCCTTTTCTCAATTCTTGTCAACCGTCAACAGAACTTTACAGAGTTTACGGTCTCACCTTGTGAGACCTGTAAACTCTTGTTAGTCACAAGAATTCACAGGTCTTCACAAGGTGGTCTGTACAAGTTTCGCTGAATACCATTTGTTGCCCCCACCAAGCCGAACTGGAGCTATATTTACTTTCTTATCATGACTGTTAATATTTACTATTTGCACATGACAGTCGACGTCGACTTCGTACGTAGGGAAAACGCAGAGAGAGGGGTGTTGTATTTGGCTCAAGGAGGGAATGTCGAGGATATTTCAAAGGAAGGGGAGTCGTATTTTGCGAAAACTACCCCCAACGGCTGGAAGGGCCCTGGTCGACGTAACCAGTTGGAGGTCTCGTGTCTCATCGCTCCACCTCGCTACCACTTTTTTATACAGGGAAAACCATGGGTGATTCGGACATGGCATTCCACGCTCATTGGGTGGGCGGTTGCACAGCTCCACATTTTCTTCGTTAGAGGAGCACACCGAGAAAAGCGAAGGCGCTCCGCGTTAACAATATTGATCTTGTCCAAACAGACCAAGCGCTCAACCAGCCGCAAGATTTTTCGTTGCCCAGGTTTAGTCGGGGTAATCGCGGAGTTGCCCCTTCGTCATACTGAGATTCGAGGATGTGTGGCCATCAAGCTGCACTTATGCACGGAAAGGGCTAACCTTATCGTACAAGGGACTAAGGCAAGGGACAAATCCGGCGATTTGGTCGAGCGCGGTGTCTGTCTTTGAAGGACGGTGGGTAGCGTCGCTGAGCTCCGGCGGCGGTTGTTGTCATGCGTGCATTGGTGAAAAGGCTATGATAGGCAGTGTCAACGCACATCCCACTCGATCCCTTCCGGCACGCTGCGCGACAACCGCCCGCCACCTCAGTCGTCCGTGCCCACTCCCTTCATACTGATACATGTTTTTTTTTGAAAATAAGTATAATAAATAAGTGAGACAGAGAAGAATGACTGGTTTAGGCAGCTACGGGTGTGGCTGAGATGTGCGTACGACAAATGGTCGACGAAGGTCTCACAGAAACGGAAGCCTGTGCCAATATCTACATGATGGATATCGACGGTCTATTGACGAAAAGTCGGTCAGCCAATTTGTCTGGATCGGCATCTTCGTTTTGCTAAAGTAGGCCTCCGTTTCTTTTTTTGAGTTTTTGGATTGAGTTGGAATAATTTTGTCTCTTTTCAGGACCTCCCTGATACGAAGAGTCTGCTGGAAGTGGTGAAAACTGTAAGGCCTGCTGGTCTCATAGGTGAGGTCACCTTATTACTGGTGTATAATTATCGTGCATACCAGAGAGCAGAAAGAAGCATTCAGGAGACGGCTGCTCACTTTTCTTATACTTTTCTCTTCCTTTGTTGTTTCTCCTTTTTTCTTTTCATTTTTCATTATCGTATTTTATAAAACTATTCGAACTTTATGTGCTGGCTTCCTTCCTTCCGCTGCTAAACCAGCACAAAGAGAAGGCTATGTGTTTTCGCATGCGTTCTTTTTTTCCGTCTAATCGTAAGATTCGTTCACACTTTGCCAGCGCCGGCACATCGTTTTGGGATAATTAGCGTCATGAAGAATCGGTCTTGCCGAGCAAACTTGTAGTACTGTAACGCGCATACGGTTAGGATTGCCAAGACTTAGAGCGCCTAGTCGCAAAGCTAGCCCAAGGGCACAGTGTGAAGCGGTAAGCTGAGTGCCCGTACTGCCCCTGCCCTTCTCGGGTATGTGACAAGAGGATCGTAATTTGCCGCGCTGCTGGGCATCGCATGCGACGTTCCGCCTGCTGAGGACGATGGTTTCAGGCAGTGGATGGCGACAACGTGCATTAGAGGCACCCGAACAACAGTAACGCCCTACCGATGACGGTCTACATGAAGTCCGGTGCTTCATTCGACAGGTTAAAAGGAGTTATGAAAACGCCGCGCCCATCGCCGCGTGTGGCGGTGCGGCGAATTACGATCCTCTTTACCGTCTCCCGCCCTTCTCACTCGCAACTCCACCTCCTAAATTTCTCCATTTGCTTCAGCTTTTTTACTGGCTCATTGATCTTTCGTTTCCACTGGTTTCCGTTATACATCAGCTTTTGCCTTTTTTTCGTCTGAAAACTCGTCGCGCTCGCAGCCACGCTTCTTGTTGTTCCCGGACATGAAGTTTTCATTACGTTGAACCTTTGTCCCTCTGTTGGTATGGAAACAGATATCACCGGGCCGTTCTACTGGACACAGACCTTTTCCCTTTTTTTTCTAGTGACGAATAGTCCGGCACGAAAGTTGCCGATCAAAAACATCCAAGGGTAGATCGCGCGGGGCATAACGAGAGGCGCGGACGCCGCACCGGTTACCAGGTTCCGAATGGATTTGCGCGGAAAGCCGCATTACAGTAAGCCCGCAGTTAGGACAGTGCTTGCCGCAAGCAAAGACAAGTCATCCTCAGAATCCTATCCACCTGTTCTTAGCGTACAGTAGCTGCCGTGAGGTTAGGCGTGTCAGAGGAGCCGAACTTCGGCACCGCTTCCAGTATTTCTTAGTAAGTATTGTCGCTTTTCCCACTTTATCGATCGAAACAGACGAGAGCGCGACTAACGTCAGCGCTAACCAACCTTCCCTGACAAGCCCCGGCATCCGCAGCGAACAAGACTGTATTATTTTGTGTCCCAGATTCTGCTCTTCATCCTGATGAACAGGCTTTATCAAATTTCATCTGCATTGTAAGGCCCGTACCAAGCTGTAAACAAAGAAACAAACAAATTTATCGTCTTTTGAACTCACTTTTTTCAGGAGCCTCCACAGTGACGGGTGCTTTCACAGAAGAAATTATCCAAGAAATGTCCGAAATCAATCCAAGGCCAATCATTTTCGCATTGTCCAATCCAACGAGTAAAGCTGAATGTACGGCTGAGACAGCTTATCGTGTTTCAAATGTGAGTCAATAAATTCGTCAATTTTCCAGGAACTAACTCGATTTCTCTTTAATTTAAGGGTACGGTACTTTCGCTTTCTTGGATCACCCATTCGGACAATTGTGGAATTGCAATGGTATAACTCTACAAACCGGGACAAGGCCAACAACCATACCATCTTCCAGAATCGCACTCGGATGTGTTTTGTTTAAAGCCAAAAATATCCCTGACAAATTGTTCCTCCTAGCTGCCAGGGTTAGAATTTTTTATTACTTTAATGGACTGTTAATATTGTTGTGGCAACATGAAGTCATAGATGGAAAAGCGGTTTCCAGAGTTCTAAAAGACCTCCTCCAAGGGGAGTCTCCCAAACGTTGCTGGCATGAATGTACTTGGGACAGGGACACTAAAAATCACTTAATCAGCAAAAAGCTCTTCAGCGTCAAATGCGACCCCCCCCCTCCCTATCCATATTTCAGAGGGTCTCGAAACAGCGCTTTTCAATTTTGAGCATATGCGGGAGATGGGCAAGAGTGCTGTCGCGCTCCGCCGCGCGCGGTGATAGGCGCGGCGTTTTCTTAACTCGTGTTAACCTGTCGATCAGAGCACCGGACTTCATGTAGACCCCGTCATCGTAGACATTCTATTTTCGGTTCTGAATTGCCTGTTGTCGCCATCTACTACCTGGAACCATCGTCATTTGCGGGCGCGACGTCGCACGCGACGCCTCCAGCGCGGTGAATTACGATTCTCTTGTCACACACCCGTATGATACCGTTGTAGTTGAGAGTAATGAGCTATTTCTTTTAGCGCGTAGCCGAATCTGTGACCGAAAAGTCGCTCTACGAGTACTCCAGGCTTTATCCACGACTGAAAACCATTCGTGAATTGTCGATTCATATCGCCGTCGAGGTAAGATTGGTCGTGACTAGTACTAAATCATGTCATTTTAAAGGCAGGAACTGAATGAGGCCTATATTTTCAGGTTGGCGAATACCTCTACAAGCACAATCTTGCCACTCTACATCCCAAACCTGAAGATATGGTTCGTTTCTCATTACCGTTTTTAGTCTGTCAAGAAGTTCTAACCGTAGAAATGCGAGAAGAAATCGTGTTGTTCCCTTGGAGGCACATTCCACGGTGGTTGCATGGGCGGGATCACTTGGACTAGTGCAACCTTCTCATTGGCGCACCCATCTTCTAGCTTCCAGACGCACCCTTCAATGACAAAATGTACACTCACCTCCGAGGACGGTCCTTGCCATGTGCGAGCAGGGTCGTGATGTGTGAAATGGTGGCGTCGGGTGAAATGGCGGGTGAAATGGTCGTACGGTACGACCCCCCCCCCTTCACCAACATCTACCCACCTACCTGCCACTTCCCTACAAGTTCCCAGCTTCCTACCAGTTTTTTACCAAAGAATTTTCCGTCGAGCGAATTGGGAGTATAG